ATAATTAGCGAATGAACTTTGAGTTATGACCAAAAATGTGTTTTGTGAGGTCACTGTGATTTAAACCTTTAACCACTAAAGTCTAATCAGCTCATTGTTGGATCCAAGCGAGCGTTTGTGCCAAATTTGGACAAACTTCCTCAAAGCGTTCAAGAGATATCCTGTTCATAAGGATTTACAGACAGACGGGTGGACAACCCAAAACATGATGCCTCAGAGGAATATAAATAAAAATATAGAACACTAAAATTACGGAAATTTTAATCACACTGGATTCCTCTTAACTTTTCAACTGGTGCCAGTATCAGTTTAACATTTTTACTTATCCAATATTTGTATTTATAGTCAGAGGCATATCTCAGCCTTGAGTCACAGCAAAATCAAATGAAGTCTTGTTTGTTTGACCAACATGATTGTGGGCTTACACTGAAAAAAATCAGAGAAGGTTTGGACTTTATACACTCCTGTGAGGCCAATGAAGCTGTATAATTTTCACATGAAAACTACTCGAATATAAAGGTTGCCGGAATGTGAAGGGCTAAATACGTAATGATTTCTAGAGTCCCAAATTACAGGGCAATTACAACTGCTCAGTGGTCAAAAGTCAGACGTGATTTAAGTAGAAATACCCGACGAGGAAGTGCTTTATTGTGTGTCAGTGTGAGCTACTGTGAAGTGAGCTCTATCAAATGTTTCTGGGTAAACAAAGGTTAAGGAAAGCAGATAACCTCATTTGGCAGCCTGAAAAGAAATCAACACACAGTGAGCTCAGAGCTGAAAGAACAGTTGGAAGGTTATTGTTAAAAAAAACAAAAAAAACTCCAGCTGCTTTTTCATCATTCCAACACAATAAACAAGTTGTGACAAATTGCAGATGGCAATCTTAACCGCTGACAAACCCTTTCACAAAGCTCCATTCATGTCCCCATAATTTTCTTTGTCCTTTGACGCACAGCCTTCATAATGCACCTTCACACTGTTCTGGAAGAAGAGCTGGAAACAAAAATGATTTTCAAAGACTGCGAAACACAACCTAAAGTATTCTCGTCACCCCGATGCTGCTTTGCTTTAGTTCTGTGTCTTTGTCAAGTGTAATACGTTTAATATGCAGCACAAAAGCTACGTGAGATCAAGCTATTGTTTTCTGATGACTTAAATTATTTTCCACAGTAAGCAGGAAATTACTCATCACGTCCTGTACGTTGTTCCTCCAATGTAAACTGTTTCGCTCGGCTGTTTAGACCCTCAGCAGCTGATATACAGCACATGCACATCCTGTCCTGCAGGACACAGAATGAGGGTGAAAGGTAGGTCATGATATAAATAGAAAAAAAGAATACCTAAAGATCTGTAAGAAAAACAGTGAGAACCAATTATAATCCTGGGGTTTGTTTGTCAAGGTAGCTTAAAAGATCGATTGACACATGAGAAAGTAAATGACTGAAGTTGAAAACAACCAACAAGAGATGATTGAGCAACACAACCTTTCCAGTGACTCCCTACCAGAATACTAACGCTGCTCCACAACGCTGTCAGTAAAGCTGCCTGGTTATGGTTAGTTCTCATATCAGTATTTCTTGTTTCCATCAATATTGCAAGAACTCTTGGAACTTATTAGTGAGGGCAACATGCAGGCCACTAAAAGTAAGTTGGAGTCACTCCCACACAGCTGTTTCCTGCAGCACGAGGACAGAATCAGTGTTGGTTCTGATTATGTTGGTGTTTCTTGGTGAATGTACCAATATAGCTGCTCATTATTCTGAAGATAAACCACATTCTTCACAGACAGCTCGTGGTTAAAATGGCTTTTTTTTTAACACCACTGAATGACTAAATCAACAAGCTGTAGGAGCAAAGTAAATATAAGTCATTAATCTGTTTCACCTCCCCTATCAAGGCTGCATTCATTCTCCATAATAAACCAATTACAGAGTCCTCTGCGTCTCGTTCTGCCTCGCCGTCCCACTCTCCGCCGCTTTCTCTCTTTCACACCGTGAATAAACGTTCAGAAATGTCTGACAGTAATAAATGATTTTCTTATTGCACTAAGTGTCGTGTCAATCAGCCATCTGTCTTTGCAAATATACAATCTGTGTGGTTGTCTTTGAGAGCCAGCAGCTGATGGGTCTGGCTACGATGCAGAAAATCTTCATTAAAAACAAACAGACTTAATGTAAGCCATCAGAATATCTTGTTTCAGTTATTTCAAGACATCAACTATCATCTCCAGGAGTCGATTTACGCGACTTTGAGTCACTGCCTTGAAAAAAATAACACTGAGGCACGTAGCTTGTAATCATTAAAGAATGTCCCTGTTGCTCATAAATAGCTCAGTGAGAACAAATTTAATCAATAAATCACTTTAATTGGACAAAGAGTTAGGTAATGCTCCCTAACAGCTGAAGATGTTTTTGTCTCACAAAAAGGCTGTGATATAAAGCTGCCTCTGCTGCCAAGAGACTGATCTTGATGGTTATTTACTGACTGATTTGTGTTAAAGAAAAATAGCAGTTTAGACAGCGTGCTCTCCAGAGGACACTTCACTTGCCTTGATCTCACTGTTGGAAATGCTCAACCCTGTTTCATTGACCATTTGGAGCTGAAACAAGCTGTGAACACAACACTGAGACATTAAGGTCTTCAGCTGCTAAATGCTTCACATGTTAAGCAGGTCGTCACTGTTGTCCGTCTGCTGATTGCTGTTGAGCAGGTCAGTGTACAGCAGGTTTTTAGAGGGTTGTCACTGAAAACAAACCAAATGTGACGCTACAAGAACTGTGACAGTGAGCCAAAACATCACAGTTGGAGGACAGACAGCTAAAAAAAACTCACTATATAGCTCTAAAAAGCCAGGAGGAGCTGCAGACGGTAAAAACCTAGAGAGGCTCATCATGGTCGTGGCACAAAGTTAAAATGCAACAAGGCCACAAATACTTATTATAGAGAAAAAGATGTCAAACACTTGTGACAGTAGTGGTAAAGCCAGGCTTTTAGTTACTCAGCATTTAAACCTTGCATCTAAGTACAAGACAAAAGGTTTAGCATCTTGATAAATGATTATATTCTTCAAATATTACCATCAGCGAGGCATCTGATTGGTCCCAAATTCATTCTGCAGCTTGACAATGACCTTCAACATACACTGATCAGTCGCGACATTAAAAGCACCTCGTAATCGTGTGTCGGTTCTCCTCCTGCCACCAAAACAGCTCTGAATTATGGGAGAATGAACACAGAACCTCAGTGGGAGTCCTGTGATGGGGCCTCAGTGGATTGGGTTTGCTCTGTGGATGCCAAATTGGACTGGGATCTGCCAAGTGTGGAGGAGCAAAGGAGTTTCAGTATCTTGGAATCGCTTCACGAGTGATGGGAAAACGGAGCATGATATAGGAGAGACTGATTGGTGCAGAGTCGGCAGTGATGCTGGTGTCGTATGAGACTGTCGTGGTGAAAAAAGGAGCAGTGGCAGAACGCTCACCGATGACCATGAGCTCTGGGTGTCGACAGAAAGAACGAGATCGCTGATACAAGTTGCCAAAATGAGTTTTCCCTGCAACGTGGCTGGGCTCAGCCTTAGAGATAGGGTGAGGAGCTCAGACGTCAGGGGAGCTCAGAGTAGAGTTGCTGCTGCTTTTGTGTCAAAAAAAAGTTGGTCGGACATCAGATAAGGTGCCTCCTTATAGACCCTGAAATTGCTGGAGAAATTACAGATCTCATCTGGCCTGGGAATGCTTTGGGATTTCCCAGGAGGAACTGGAAAACGTTGCTGGGTAGAGGGACGTCTGGAATGACCTGTTCCTCAAAGTGCTCCTGAACAGTTTTTGTGGCGTGGCAGGGGCATTGTCCTTAAGAGGGTGACTGCTACTGTCAGGGAGTGCCTTTAGATGTGTGGGACATGTCAAAGTAGCATCCACATGAATGCCAGGAGCCCAGCAGAGCATTTCATTGTAACGGAATGATAAGTGTTATCATCGTCACCTGGTTTTAATGTTGTGGCTGCTTCGTGTATAACAGACCGTATTGCAGTATATCACTTTACAGAATCACAGGCAAAATGTGTCCGCATTCCAGTTTTGTGAGCCGTCTGCATGTTCCTACTATGAGCTCTGCCTTCACATAGCATTGAACTAAACAGCTCAAAAACAAAGTTGGTGAAACTTGTGTAATGACTCATCTCATTTGAGTCTATGTATGTATGTCAGTATTTGAATATGGAAAACCATAAGCTCACAGCCATGAAGAAATACCATCAGTGTCAAGAAGAACACGGAGTCCTGCGACAGATGGCCTGGCCCCCACAGAGCCCTGATCTCAGTCTGGTATTACACAAACAGACTGAAGACGCCTGAAATCCACACAAAAATCAATTTTTGGAAAACATTTTCAAAATGCCTGCAGACTATCAAACTTTGCGCTACCACACAGACTGAACAATTACAACTACAAGCATGAGCCTTTACCACAGCAACTCTGTCATTTGGAGCAATTTAAAGCTGCCACTTCATTTAGTGAACATCTGTCATGTGCTGATCCGCACATGACTCATGTTGTGGTGCAGCCAGTCTGACCAAAGCAGGACACAACAAAGCTGCTGCTCCAGCAAGTGGAATCTCCCAGACAAACCCAGCCTGCCTGTGCTGTTTCTCTTTCTTCTTGTGCCTTGTGTTTACCTGCCTCTTATCAGGCAGGTATGAGCGGGGTAAAGGTGTAAAGGAGGGTGTGGCCTCCTGCAGCACACAGACGGTTAGAAACCCAAACTCCACAGGTACAACACCTGTCGGTTCACAGCTGCAGATCTCGAGCTATTCTTAGAAACAAAAAGCCATAACAACATCTATTCACATTTGTTCTTTCGATCTGCCAAACACACACACACACACACATACACATACACACTAGTCCAGCCCCGGTACAAACACACACACACTCTCCCCTGCGTTCAGCCGAAAGAACCGCGCAAACAAGGCGCATCGCGCGTCTCTCTCCGCGTCGGTACTCACCCAGAACACGATGGCGTAGAGGAGCAGGAGGTATTTGAGGAAGACGTAGGAGAATTTGTGACAGTATCGGATTTCGTCGTTGTTGGTCATCGTGTCTGACTGAGGACAGTTGACTCCAGCGGCTCTCTGCGCTGCTGCCAAACACACTTCCGCGTTGTCATCGGCACCACACCTGCAGGGGATGGACTGATGGATGGATGGATGGACGCATGGAGGAGGGATGTGGGCTAAAATAAGCAGAAAACAAAACAAAAAACAGGCGCAAAGAAGACTTTCAGCTTAAAAAATAAAAATAAAAAAAACATCCTGAGGTTTTTATTTCTGAATGATTGATGAGTGACGTTGTTTGTTTTGAGCCTCAGTATTGATTTTTTTTTTTTTTGTCCTCCATGTCTCTTCCTGTCCACATGTGAATCATGAGTTCTTTGGATCTCTTCTTTTGTTTAATGTATCCAGTTATCCTGAGTTTAGTCATCAGCCCCTTTTAAAATAGACCCGATCAACACACCAAATACACCTTCATCTGCTTCTTACCTGCTCTAATGATCACTTGCAGCCTATTGATGTTTTTATCCATGACAGATGCTTCATTAAACATCAGATTTAACAGTGCATGAGTCATGTGGTAAAAGCTAATTAGGGCAGAAATGTGGAAATCTAACACAATTTTGTTACTGCTTTTTTTTTTTTTTTTTTTTAAGTTGTGTTTTAGTTTTTATTATTCTAATATAGTATATAGCACAATATGTGTTACACAGTGACACAAAACGTTAAACTTTGCCCCCTGGTGGAGAAATATAGCAGATTGGACACAATTACTGTTATTTCAGGGACTCATCAGAAGATTCATAAAAGCCTCAATACTGGGCCTCACGTACAGCTTAGAAGTCTGATTCTCCTTTCCAGACCTCTAAATAATGCAAAACTCACATTGTACCCAAAGCATACATTCAAAATAACTCCACTGTCTATGCACAGCCAAAGCATGACGGGAGAGGTTTAATTATAAGACTGATGCAAAACAGGAAGACCATGAGACATTTTAGAGCTCAGATGCACCAAAACATCGTTGTCTCTCTGCAGCCAACTATCATCCTTAGTGTATGCAGTACGTCCAGCCCTACTGGCTCTGGTCAACGCTTATCAGCAGCGGCTTAGCTGATAAGAGGGAGCAGTCTGATTGGCTGTTCAGTCAAGTGAATCACTGTTTTCACTCTGCTTATTTTTTATTTATCGCCTTTTCTTATCTTCTTTAACAAGCTTAAGACCTTGAGCTGAACACAGAACTCTTGTTTTGTTGCACATTATTTGCACCACACTTCATGCACGACTTTTCTACTCAGACATTTTGAACGTATTGTACATTTTGCATTTTATATTTTCTTATTTTTTATTTTTGGTTGTTTATCAGTATTTATGGTGGTGGTAACTTTATTTTTGTGCTGTAACAACCAAATTTCCCCTTGGGGATTAATAAAGCATTTCTATTCTACTCTATTCCATTCTATTCTGTTCTATTCTAACCAAAGGAACCAGTTTCAGGTCTTCTCTAACTTACTCTAATCTTATAGATGATAATACATAACAGAACAGAGTTGGAATCCGAGTTACTTTGGCATTAATATGAATAGTTGTGCTTGTTTTTGTCTGGTAGCCCTGTTTTTCTTGCCTGGTTGGTGAGATGATTAGTTCCTATGTGCAACATGTTCATACATGCCAGCATGGCACGTGTTAAGGTGCAACTTTAAACAGAAGACATAAGGCAGTGTGAGCCAGTCTTTTTTGGTTTTACTAGTTCAGGACAGCTAATATGTGCGTCTTGACTCGGATTCACTCAGGACATCACACTTCACAAGTGCTGCTGCACCAACTAAGAAACTTTTCTTTCTCCCTGTTTGAACCTGTCAACATGGCCTTCACCAGGCTGCTGGTTGTGGATATGGGATTGTGTTAAAAGTACACTTCTGTAGTGCAAAGAGTTCACACACACACACACACACACACACAGCAGAGAGAAAACACAATGTGTTCAGCTGAAGTCAGCAGACCTTCCCTCTATCTGCTCTTTTCTGTGTAAACATGTGAACACAGATTTCTCCTGCGGGAGAGGAGTGGCAGAAAGAGCAGACATGTGGAGAATAACTGACAACAAACAGGTAGTTAGGTGACAATCAATATAACAGAAAGAAAAAACAAAAAGATATAACAGTAGAAAGAGAGGCAGAGCATGAGGCACTGAAAACATACAACTGATATCATAGCCTACAGGTCGTTGTCAGTGTAGAACAATTACAACAGCCAAACAGTACCATGGTTTATTTTAGAAATGTAAAATCACAGCAAGTGTACATCAACTATCCTCAACAGTTAGTTAGAGGATAAAAGGATAAGAGGATAAAAAGTATGGCACATTTATATCTAATATATACTGTAAATCTCTCACAAATGAACCTGGTGCTGATGTTTCATGTGAAGAGAAATTACACCAAGATATAATGTAGAATATCAAAATACACTTTGACACATGTGCTGTACTTAAAACTTCTCACACGCACATTTTGTTACTTTCATTTACGTGTTTAAAGGAGCAGTTTGGCAGTGATGCAATCTCTGTGGGACATTTAAGTGTTTTGTCGTGTTTCAGTTCCACAGCTCAAACTGAAAGCTGATAACAGCAGCATTTTTAAATGTGTGACTGCCCGTAAGTGCAAACACACAGCTGTATTCTCAAAGTATCTCAACAGCTTATGAAAGCACTTTTTATTTTTATTTATTGATTTTTTAATTTTTCCTTTATTTAACCAGGTGGGTTAATTGAGAACAGATGCTCATTTACAATAACGACCTGGCCAAGAGGCAGCACAGAGCAGAAAATACAATAAAGGGAATACATCCGTAAAAAAAGAAAAAAACTGTACACAAACAAAACATAACAATAAAAGGCTTTGGAGATAAAATACACTAAAATCAGGTACAGGACTCGGTAAGTAGTTCCTTCACCATATTTTTAAAAGAAGACAAAGGTACAACGACACTGAGTTTGAATGTTTTTTGTAACTGGTTCCAGTTGAGAGCTGCAGAGAACTGAAATGAATAGCGGCCAAAGATAATGCGGGCTTTGGGGATGAGGAGGTGGATGAGGTTGCTGTTGCAAAGTGAGCAGCTGATGTGACGGGTGATGAGTAGTGAATGTAGATATGCCAGAGTTTAGCCTATAATAGTTTTATAAATGAACAAATACCAATGGGTTTGCCTGTGGGAGTGAAGAGAGGGCCAGTTAACCAGGCTGTACAGAGTGCAGTGGTGAGTTGTGAAGGAGGCACCAGTGACAAAACGGATGGCCGTGTGGTAGATAGTGTCCAGTTTATGGAGGAGGGATCTGGATGTGGATCTATAAAGTATGCCGCTGTAGTCAAACATCGGAAGTACTGTCATTTTGACCAGGAGGTGTTTAGCGGATTGTGTAAATGAGGATTTATTACGATACAGAAAACCAATTCTATTTTTGACTTTCGTGAGCAGAGAGTTGATGTGGGTTTCAAAAGAGAGGCAGGGGTCGAGCCAGATACCTAAATATTTGTAGTTATTGACGAAGTCGATTATAAATCCATCCAAGGAGATGATGCTATTTGGGGGACTGGATCTGTGGGAGGTTTTTATTGAAAATCATACATTTTGGGTTTTTTTTGTGTTCAGTGATAAAAGAAGGTCAGAGAAGGCATGTTGGATGTTACTGAATGCAGTTTGCAGATTGGACAATGCATCATTGAGGGAGGGGCTAGATGTATAGACAATGGTATCATCGGCGTACAGATGAATGTGGGCGTTGTCTACAGCATGGGTTATGTTGTTAATGTAAATACTGAATGGTGTTGGGCCCAGTATGGAACCTTGGGGGACACCTTTTTGAAGAGGTAGTGGGGCTGAGAGAAGATCTTCCACTTCTTTGTTTTTCGTTGAGAAAAAGCACCTATTAGGTGAAAGTGTGATCAGCATGTTGGTTTTATCCTGTGCATAGATACCATCTACAAGAGGACACAGCTTAAAACCCAACAATGTTGATAAAGCAGAGATACTCTAAGATTCCCAACAGGCTGCAAAGACAAGCAGCAGCAAAGAAAAAAAATATCACCAATTTCACCAAGAATTCAGCAGCACCTTGACCACAGTGCCATTTCAAATCTTAACAGCCACGACAAAACCCACAAAAATAACAAGCCCAAGACGGCATCCTCACTTGGCTGACTGATCTCAAGTGATTGCAGCAGCTATTGTGTGGGCATGGGAGCTAAACGCCCAAAAAAGCCTTTTTATGTGGTATTCATGGAATATATTGGAAGCTGACTGAGGAAACGTTTTACTGGAGGTCGGCCTGTATTTAGAGCACATGTAAGTCCAAAGCAATAGTCGGAATATATGAATGATAAAAGCTCTGAGGAGCCCTTCATCTGTTCCCAAACCATTAGGAGACACAAAAGTACAACCTATCATATGGTGCTGTGCGTCTTCAGTATACTGTGTCACACAGAAAAAGAAGAAAAAGGGCAATAATAGCAACACTTGAAAAGCAATTTCACCAGACAAAAAGTGGTTTGGCTTTTTCGGGGTGCTGAAAATTGCTGGCTGCAGATAGTACAGTATCTTTTTTTAACCCATTCTTTTACTTCCTCATTCCCTCTCCAAGATCTGAGGGTCCCCCCCTCCCCTCAACATCATCTTGTTGATAATCATGTTTCTCATGTGGACAGAGTCATGCACAATTGACATGGTGGAATTATTCCCACCCCTCTTTCTTAACATGTTTGTTTTTGAATTTTCCCACGTTACCAGTAATTTTTGTAACAGGCTGAAAGACGAAGGACTCGAGCTACTCTACATCTTTCTTTCGCTCGTCTTCTCTCCCTCTCTCTTTATCTTTCTCCCTGCTTGGCGCAGCTTTACGCGCGCAGTGCCTGCATGTCTGTGCTCTCACTCTGAGGCGCGCGTCAAGCCAGTTAGTTACACATTCCAGCAGAGAGAGACAGAGTGCGTGTGAGTGTGCGTGTGAGCGAGATCTGGGAGCGGATAAATGTCTTAATGTACGATTGGATAGACCTGGTTGTCCATTACGCAGAAGGAGTCTAATTTTCGGACGTTATCAGCTATGGATTGGAAAGCCGAAGTTAAAACTGATTATTTAATCGCCTGAATAGAAAGGTAAGACAGACCAAACTATTAACCAACAAAGATTTTTGGTTTATTTTTTGTAAAGAATATCTCTTCCAGTGCATTCATTTATCACTTGTGCTGTTGCGCCTGTGCTGCAGCCAGAGGAAGCTATTAGTACGTGTGAGAAATGTCTCTAATGCATGTTGAGTGATGCATGGGTTTTTACTGTTTTTGCACTTTTGAAATAATATATGAACCAAACGGAGCAACTTTATTCAGCAAAAATGATCAGAGTTTGGATGTCAGGAGACAGTGATGAGGTGTATCATTAACAACTCATGCTTAATGAGCCTTTTGTATGAAATTGTATGTTGAATACGATTGACTCAAATCTGAAATAGTTGTTCTGTGGTTCAGCAGCTTTCATATAATTTCATTTCAACTCCACAAATATATTTCAGTTGATTTAATATTTTTGGTATTCTCCAACAAAATTAACAAGAAAATCACTTTAAACACATAAAAATATTCAAAACATCTTTATTCATTTCTAAGCTCCCTTCAAGAGAACGTGTCTGCTCGTGTCCTCACTGCGCCTCATTACGCGTGACGCACAAGGCGCGCAGAGTTATACATAAAGTTTCTGTCCCCAGGTAAATAGGGAACGAACATGGAGGCGGAAAGTCTTATTCAACACATTGAACGAGACATGGAGGTCACTTCAGTGCCGTTATCAGTGACCGCTGACTGGCTGGAGGACGGAAACGAGACGACCGGGAATCAGTTCCAGCAGCCCGACTGGCAGGTGGGAGAAATACACTGAGAGAGTAAAAATACGAAACTGGTAGAAGTCAGAACCAACTCTGTTTTATTGACCAAGAAACATACAGCAAAGGGTGGAGGCATTAAGGGGAAATATTGATGCTGAAAGACGTGAATGAATGCATGAATGAATGAATGAATGAATGAATGAATGAATGAATGAATGAATGAATGAATGAATGAATGAATGAATGAAAGTGTATGTGTGAAAACCTAAGATTGAAGATATGATCCTGATGTTGGTTGAAAAAGTTGAAAATCATGCTTCTGTCTGAGACATTGCTGATTGAAATCCAAGCAAAGTGGCTAAAATAGATCAAATTAAAGCCAGCTGAAGTGCTATCCATTCCATTTATGGGCTTTTCTGTTTTGACTCTCTACTGTCTTAATTGCCCCCCCACCACCCTTTGACCCTGCACCACTTCCAGCTGACAGTGCTCTCCTCTCCCAGGTGGCTCTCTGGGCTTTAGCCTACTCCCTCATCATCCTGGTGTCCATCACCGGGAACGTCACAGTGATCTGGATTATCCTGGCTCACAGACGCATGAGGACCGTAACCAATTACTTCATCGTGAATCTGGCCTTCTCTGACGTTTCCATGGCAACCTTTAACACTCTTTTTAACTTTGTCTACGCGCTCCACAACGACTGGTACTTTGGCCTGGGCTACTGCAGGTTTCAGAACTTCTTCCCCATCACGGCCATGTTCTCATCAATATACTCGATGGCAGCCATCGCAGTGGACAGGTGAGCCGGCTCTCTGTGCAAAGGTCACGCCGAGTCGAATTTCCACTAATGTTCCTCGAAGCAGGGTTAGGCTGATGCTTTCTTTAAAGATGCTGTTAAAGTGAACAATTCAGCACACAAGGGACTGTTTTTCCTCCAGCAATTAGAAACTAATGGGGCTACTCATCATCATCTAATGCAACACCTCATTTAGGAGCTGCATTATTCACAAAGGGATTGATGACCACTTACTGAAACAAGCAACTCAGCAGCGCAGAAAGGATGCTATCTCAGCATATAACCCATAATTTCATTTCTACACTGATATATTAAAGGTTCTTTTTCACTGAGTGTAATTGTGTTCTATAAATGTGGAAAGCATTCAGGTTAAGAGGAACAAGATATGTCATCTCAGATATTCTGGTTTTTAATGGCAAATCTGGGCATGCCCGGTGTGGTATTTTTCATCAATTTATCAATCAAGACCGCTGATATTTTTCCATGTTTCTACGTGAGTCAGGCGTATGTCTTTTGAGATCAAACTGTAGCTCCTTACATGAGCAGCATCGTTTCATATCATCAGCAGCTGCAACTGTGTGATGAAAAGGCTGCATGAAGGAGATGTGGGTCAGCAGCTAGGAGAGACACAGATGTCATGAATGCTTACTAGAGCATAAATGGTCAGTCTGCTATTAGTATAAATCTGTGTTCAGTGCATGATGTAAAGTACACGAGGTATGTATATGTGTACAATCTCATGTAATACGACAATCCTGCAAAAAACATTGTATAATGTTTGTTTTGAGGCTGCAGACGGTGCAGAAGGGTATTACTGACGTTTTATTCAGACCACACCACCACTAATCCCTGCCTTTAAATAATATATTCACAGGGGCTACACATTTCTGACACAGTGTCGGCACAAGCTGAGCATCATAAACTACACAAAGATGGTTGTTGTTGTGTTGATTGCACAGATGACCCATGACCTCATAATTGTACAAAAATGGCTCCAAAAACAACTTGGATAGTTAAACTATCAGCAAAGTTCCATGAATTTAAAAAACAAATCATTAAATAAAACAGAAACACCACGAACTATAGAAAAACATTATGTTATCCAAGAGAAAATCAAGCCAAAGTCTCTGGTCCTTCTTGATCTAAATCAAACAAAGCACCTATATAGAAATAAATCCTCTCATCATTGATTTCGCGAGGATAGATTTAAAGCTTAAGTGTGGACTCCTCCATATTCCAGATCCAGACATTTTAAAGCACCTCTACAAGATAAAAGAGGTCAAGTTTTAAATCATTGTGTGATCTGCAGTGATGCCACTGCTGGATGTCTAATTATTATTATTATTATTATTATTATTATTATTATTATTATTATTATTATTATTATTATTATTATTATTATTATTA